TGGATGGTGTTGGGGGGCCAGGATGAGGGCGTCAGAAACGCAGCAAGAGCAGCTTCAGCTCCGTCCCGCTGCCGCCTCGGCTGCCCCTGGTCCTAACCCGTCGCCCTCCGAGCCCCGGGGGCCCTCCACGCTTCTCAGCGGTTCCCACCGCGGGCTCCCTGGGCAACCTCAGTAGGTGCCCCGCCTCCTTTTCTGGCTGCAAAGAGCCCAGGTTGAGCGTCTTGCGTTCGAGTCCCGCTCCTCCCGGCACCTCGCTCCGACGCGAGCGCGTTTCTGCCCGGGCTCCACGGATGTTCTTCCGCCTGATCCGCCTCGCAGAGTTGCTCTCTGCGCCGGGGGAGATAATGGACGCGAAAGAGTTTTGTGAATCGTTACGAGTTTCTAATTCAGCCGCCCCTCGTGGAGCCCTGGGGCCTCGGTGCTGAGCCTCACAGACTCTCGCTGAACCCACACCTGGCCTGCAGGTGGGCGCCTTGCAACCTCCTATCCAAGAGCCAGCCAGCGGCTGCTCTCGCCTTGCAGTTCATGTCCTCCTGCTCCAGCTCCTCCACTTTTAACTACTTCTGTGTTGCACCCCTTCCCCTGGCTTAGAATCTGAAATGTTACTCCACGATTAGGTTGTTTTCTTTTTTATTGATACACCCCAGAGAGCGGTAATCACATTGATTTTTTTTTCCTCTAATACACCTATGTGCAGTTTTTGGGTTTTGATACAAGAAAGATACCTTGATTTCTGATTTTTTTTTTTTTGGTTATGGTGGCTCTTATTGTGATTGTTTTTACTATATTGGCTTTTGACCTACTGTAGTGAAATACCTAAATTATCTCTAGTTCTTTCCTGGCTGGGTTACTCAGTTGGGTAGAGCGTTGTCCTGACACACCAAGGTTTCGGGTATGAACCCCAGTCAAGGCACATACAAGAAGCAGCCACTAAATGTGTAAAGAAGTGGAACAATAAATTGATGTCTCTCTCTCTCTTTCGCTCAAATCAATTAAAAAATTTTTAATTGTATCTAGTTCTGTCTTTAACTGATGTAAGTATTAGCAGCTTATGGTAAAAACTGGAGTTTTCCTCTTTGAGGACTGAAGAAACGGTACACAAGAACGTTTGCTCTCCTTGGCCTGACAAAAACACTAATCTTTGGTTGATCATATATAAATTATGTAGTATCCTTTGGTTTTTAAGTTTCACATAATTTTAGTCTTAGAATTGTGTTTGTTTTTGAGGCTGCAATAGTTTCAGTTACCAAAAATGCCTTGGTCAAGAAACGGTTAGTTTTCTTTGACAGGTGTAGCAATAAAAGTATTTTATGTCTTCCTGCAGTAAAGTTCCTGTTGGAATAATTTTTTAAAGGGATATTTAAACAGACAAATAAAGGCAGCAAGCTTACCCCTCGGGCTTGATCCCTGTCCCTGCACACCTGTAACTGCCACTGTGAGCAAATGCAGTCCAGTTCAGAAGCGAATCCTCTTTCCCATCTTCCTTTCAGTGCCTCCAAGGCAGCTGCTTTCAGCTGCTGGTACTGCCCGCACAACTGCTGTCATTTTCCCAGTGGCTGTTCAAAACCACCCAGAGGTAACTAACTACCTATTATTGGCAGCGCAAGGTTCCCAGGAACCCAGTGCGGCTTCCCCAGTGTCTTCCCCACAGTGTGTGTGTGGGGGGGGGGGGGGGGAACCAGGGAACAGGTGTGTGATGACCCTGATGCCCATGCCTCCCCACTTTTGCAGCTTCCATATTGAGCCACACTAAGCTCTTACCATTCTGGCTCACACAGCACCTCCACATCTTCACAGATTCCATACTCAGTAAAGACGGTGAAAGGAAACTCTTTCAGAAGGAAGCTGCCTCTGTTGGGAGGTGTGGGAACAAACCTTTTTTTCTGCACGTCCGAGGACCCACAGGCTGAGCCTCGTACTTGGAAAGCAGAACTGAGACGGTGACAAACCGCAGTTAGCTTGGCGCACATCTGCCCTTCACACAGGCAGCCCTGTCAGTCCTGCAGTGCTTGGTGGGGGCAGCCTCTTGCTCAGTGAGACTAAGTACATGGTCTTGCTCACTTAGAGGATCTGTGAGCTGGAAACACTTAGCATGTGAATGAGGGCTGAGTCCTCTCCCAGCCCCTCCTGAATGGTTCCGAGGAGGTCACCTGATACTGCCTAGGGTATCCCAGAAAGAAGTAGACTTGTACATAGACACCCTTGAGCTCCAAATGCATTTCCAGGTCTTGGCCTGGAACAGCCATTCTTTAGAGAGCCTATTTGGGAATAAAAGGCTGGGGCATCCCAAAACCTCAGTAGCGATCTTCCAGACACCGTTGTTTGCTATGAGTGTAAACATAAGACATGCTTCCTGCAGAAAAGTCATTGGGAAATCACGGTATCCAGAAGGCGATCCCCATCTTGTGCTGACCAAGGGTGGCTTGTTACGGGGCCCTCCTGGCCTGTGTGGAGTGTATGAGCTCACCGTCTCAGTTTGCATCCCTTCGCTGTGTCCTTGGATTGCTTTCCAGAGGGCTTTTCTCCCGGATGGCTGGGTACAGAGGCACAGCAGCCTGTGGGCCGCTGGGGCTGCGTCTTTATTCTCATTGGCATCATTCCCCTGTGGTCTCTGCAGCCACGTCGCTGGGAGGTAAGAGTGTTACTGAATGGGCTCTGGATATAAGACTTCCCTGTGTCGTCAGTAGAAGGCTTTCGTTCCTGGTCCTTTCGTGTTTTAGAGCCGGGGTGGAATGTTAGTGCTCTGATGTCTCAAATTCTAATTCCTCTTCTTGAATTAGATCCTGTTTATTAAAATGGAAATAGGTACATACATACCCCAGGTTAAAACTGTCCATGTCAGTAGGAAAACAACCCTTACATGTATTTGGAGAGTGTTAGCTGTTTTGGGTACAGTTCAGTCTGTGTGGGGAGAACATGTCCGAGGCCCTTGGTAGCTGCTGAGCATCCTGTCAGCACCTCAGCTGTTCTGACTGGGTTTCTCTTCTCTGCTCGGTGGACTGGCTGGGAGTCGTGAACAGTTTGTGCGTGTTATTCTTGCCCCTGGTACATCACCCGAGGTGAGGGCTGGGTTCAAGACTGATTCCAGTTGCTTTAATGTAAAGCGTAGTTTTGTATTTTTCAGAGAAATGCCTCTTTTGATTTACCACCAACAGTAACCCACGTTCATGTGACTGTTTATCTCTCTGACATGCATCACTAGCAGCCTTCCAAGCAGACAGGATTGAGTTTGCCAAGTCATATGTGAGGACCACCAGGCGAGGCTTGTGAGGAGAGAAGAATAAAAAGGCAAAAACAAGGGACAAGGACAGAATGTTCTACTTCCGTGTAAAACCTAAGGCCGTGGTTTATGGGTCAGGACAGAGGACCCTCCTGTCGTGAGCAGACTCACCTGCAGAACTAGGCTCTGCTTTGCAGGAAGTGGAGTTGGCGAGTGAGGCGGTGGCTGTGGGGAGGGCACCTCACACTGCTCGCATCTCGATTCCACAGAGGTTTGTGTGGTTTAACATCGGCAGCGTTGACACCAGCGTTGACACCTTTGAGCGGAACCTGGAGACTGCTCATGGGGGGCTGGATCCAGCCTCCCAGCCAGGCGGCAGTGGTCTACACCCGTGAGAGTGACGGGCGCCTGGTTCCGGGCAGAGTGGTGTGGACTGTGCTTTCTTCAAGCGCGTCAGGCATCTGCTAATAATTTTTTTAAAATATGTTTTATTGATTTTTTTTTACGGGATAGAGAGCTAGAAGCATCGATGAGAGAGAAACATTGATCAGCTGCCTCCTGCACGCTTCCCACTGGGGATGTGCCCGCAACCAAGGTACATGCCCTTGACCGGAATCGAACCTGGGACCCTTCAGTCCGCAGGCCGACACTCTATCCACTGAGCCAAACCGGTTCGGGCATCTGCTAATAATTTTAATGTCTGTAGTAAGAAAATAGTTTGTTAGCTCTGTTTTTATTGAGGAAAGAATTGATCAGGTAGGTTAAAAAAGTGATACACTAGGCTGGGCAGGACTCGTCTGTGAGGAAGCCATACTGGTTCTGCTGGGGGTGCTACCCTCTCCGCCATACGGGCCAACCATAGGCGAAGTCAGGCAGGCCCACATGGGTGGGATGAAGAGCCTTCAGAATTGGGGGAAGGTTTGATGCCAGGGACAGACTTTGACACTTTTTTGTTGTTGTTAATCTTCACCCAGGGACATTTTCTTCATTGATTTTTAGAACGAGTGTAAAAGAGGGAGGGAAGAAGAGAAGAGATAGAGAGAAACATTGATGTGAGAGAGAAACATCCAACAGCTGCCCCTCGCACGTGCCCCTACCAGAGTCCAGAGATCAAACCTGCAACCGATGTACCTGCCCTTGGCCGGGAATTGAACCCGAGACTCTTGGTCCGCTGAGTGACGCTCTAACCACTGAGTAAACCCGGCCAGGGCTTCCACACATTTTTAAAGAAACCCCTCCCTTTTGTGTATCAGAACAGTTTCAGCCACTCAGTGGTTGAGTGTGGGCCTATGGAGGTCATGGTTCGATTCCCAGTCGGCACATATCTGGATTGTGGGCTTGATCCCCAGTGAGGGGCATGTTGGAGGCAGCCGATCAGTGATTCTCTCTCATCATGGATATTTCTATCTTTCCCTCTCCCTTCCGCTCTGAAATCAATACAAATAAATTATATTAAAAAAGCAGTCCCAGAACTATTGACTCTCCGTGGCCTGGGGTAATATTTATGGCCTTTCTCCTGACAAGTGGTTTTCTTGGGTTTTCTAGCTCTTTCTTGCAAAGCCTGGTGCCCACCCTTCTCCTGGTTGGCATCCTCTATGCTGCGAGGAGGGCCCGATGGGGACTGAGCGTGGTGGATGAGGAAGGGACCTCTTCAGTGCTGGCGAGACCACGGCCAGGATCCTAAAGAACAACATCGACGTGCGGTCTGCAGATGTAGCTGGTTACGAAGAAGCCAAGTTGGAGCTTATGGAGTTTGTGAATTTCCTCAAGAATCCTAAACAGTACCAGGACTTAGGAGCCAAAATTCCAAAGGTATCGATTTCAGAAAACGCAATACTGCTCCAGGTCCAAGTCAAAGGCAGAGGTCCCTATGGTCCAGGGTTGACAGGTAGTTGACAACAGCTTTCTGTGATGCTGATGTATTTTACTAATCACATTAGAGAGTGTAAATAGCATTTGCAGAGTAGAACAGTGACAATCTTCTCACCTGATTGACCTGAGACCACAGGGAGTTATTTTTACACTGTAAGGCAGTGGAACATACCCCTGTGTGGTGTGTTTATTTTTAACTTAATTGTACGTTCTGTGTTGTCTCTCTTCCTGTGAATTTGGTCCCAGTGGCCATGATCCTCTGTTGAATGTCCTGCATGAACCATGTGTTGGTGACAGTGTTGTTTCTCTGAATTGAAGCGAGGACTTTGAAGCCATCTGAGTGCAGAATCTATGTTTTCATGAATTTTTCTTACCCATTTATAGTTTTCTCACCTGCCCAATTTTTAAAAATATATTTTTATTGATTTCAGAGAGGAAGGGAGAGAGCTACATAGTTAGAAACATCAATGATGAGAGAGAATCACTGATTGGCTGCCTCCTGCATGTCCCCAGCGGGGATTGAGCCCGCAACCTGGGCATGTGCCCTTGGCCGGAATCAAACCTGGGACCCTTCAGCCCATGGCCTGATGCTCTATCCACTGAGCAAAACCGGGCATGGCTGGTCTTTATGCTCTTGGTTAAAAGTTTGGTTAATCATTAGCTGTGTATGTGGTGGAAATTTTGATTGAGATTTTGGAGTAAGTCCATACAGGCGGGAGTGGTGTGGCCGAGTTATGTTCCTCGTCTCCTGAGTATGCAGTGTTCTGGAAATGATAGAGTCTGCAAGCAGAGTCTGCCTTCTGCTCTCCTTCTGTGAGTGTCAGTGCCGCTGGACCCCGCTCCTGGGCTGGCCTTGTTTGCATTGTTGGGGCACGGCACGGCATGGATTTGGTGTTGGCCAGCGGCAGCTTGGTTAATGTGTTCGAGCCGAACATGCACAACCTTTGGATTATTTCTGCTATTGTTCTTGACTCCTGTGGCCAGGAAGGTGCTGGAACCCCAGGCTGTCCTTGGGGTTTTGCGAGGTGCTACAGGTGACTCTGCTGTGGTGTCTCCTTTTTTGTTAGGCCCCCCTGACATCAAAGCAGGTGCTGCATCTTCAAGGTGCACCTGCGTCCACTGAAGTTGGACGAGAGTCTCAGTTCAGACACCCTGCAGAAGAAGCCCGCGGCATGCACTCCGGCTTCACAGGTGAGTGTTGGCCAGGCCGTGCCGCTCTCCTTGGGAGGTTGTGTAATTGGTTTCTGGTTATACCATCGATCTGGCAAGTGTCAATCTTTGTCTTAAAACTTTGAATCTGTCGAGATGTAGCAGAGGCCTCGGAGGTGATTGGCCCCAAAGCAATCTGTACCCAGGTGAATTTCTATTTTAATTCTGTTTAGACTTGGTAATTTTTTACTATATTAACCAAATTTATATCTAAGGACAGACCCACTGAAGTGAACAGCCAGGCTGCATTTCATAGTCATGGGCTTAAGCTCCCAACCTGGCAGCTCCCTTAGCTTGTCTTTCTTCTTTGTAATTAAAACCCAAGAACCTGGTCTAGAAAACTTGTTTGCCTGCCAGAGTGGTTTAAATCCCAGTGGTTCAGGGCTTTTCCTGGGGACTTCCCACCTACTCAGCAGCCCTTTGCAAGCCTGTGGTTACCTAGGCGAGCCAGTAGCCTCTGCTGTGCTCCCCGCCACCGCAGAGCACGTTGCCATGGATCCGTGTCCTCCAGCCTCTGTAGTCGCTGTCTCCACAGGGTGAGCCTTTGTCAGCTAAGGGCAAGGAGAGATGACTTCTCACCTGACCAAGCTGGCTGGGGAGGGTCCTGGTCTGTGTCCTGCCCAGAATGTGCTTTCTGTCTTTCTCTTTCTCCCCTTGGGGTCTCACAAGTCACTCACACACCAAAGGTAAAGACTGGAGTAGACCACCCAGACTGTCTTTTCCTCATGGACAACCTTTGAGGCAGAAATGGAGAAGCTGATCTTCAAATTCACGTGGAACTGCAGGGCCCCTGGGTACCCCAAAACCATCTTGTCAAAGAACAGAGCGGAGACTCACACTGCTCTACTTCCCAGCTTACTGCCGGCTCTAGCAAACATGGCTACGGCACAACCACAGACATAGATCAGCAGAGAGAAGCCTACAGCTCGCTGGTCAGTGAGTTTGTCCAGCGTGTGAAGACCATTCAGTGGGGAAAGAACAGGCTCTTCAACAAATGGGGCTGGGACAGTCGGATGTTCACACACCAGGAATGAAATTGGACCCTACCACCCTCTGTGTGTTAACTCACATGGAGCTCTTAGAAGGAAACAAGGGGGAAGCTTTATGACCTCTTTTGGTAATGGTTTCCTAGTTAGTATGATGCTGAAAGCATAAGCAACAAATGAAAAAGTAAATTAGACTCCTTCAAAATTAAAATTTTGTGTATCAGCAGACATTGTCTAGTGAGCGAAAGGCCAGCTGACAGACTGGAAGAAAACGCTTGGAAATCATGCGTCTGATAAAGGTATGAGATCCAGAATCTGTAAAGAACTGTCACAAGTCAGCACAATAAAGAACTCAGTCTAAAATGGGCAGAGGATCGGAGCAGACACTTTTTCATAGATACACAAATGGCCAAAAAGCACATGGGAAGGCGCTGAGTGCTTTTCGTCTTTAGGAAAGTGCAACTTGAGAGCACAGGGAGGTAGCACCTCACACCCACCTGCTGGCTGTAAAGGATGGACCAAGGGGGGAGCTGGCAAGGGTTGGAGACACGCTGGTGGGATGTGCAGTAGTGCAGGTGAGGGAGCAGTGTGGTGGTTCTCCAGAGAGTAGACTAGTCACCGTATGACCAGCAGTTCCTCGTGTCCATACAGATGTTCACAGCAGCATTCCTCAGAACTGCCCGTGTCCACCAGCGCGTGATGGATGAGCCAGGTGTATTATTCGTGTAATGGGATGTGGATTTTATGTTAAATAACTTGCACCTTCATAAGATGTTTAACCAGAAAGCTGGTTAAAAACAGTGGTCATGGCAAGGTAGTTCCTGTGTCCTTCATGTGCTCACCTGCTTTCCCTCTGGTCTCTCGGCTGGAGGCTTTCCTGGGATGCAGCCCGCTGGGCACCAATGGCAGCCGTCTCTCCTTTCCCGGGTCAGGTGCTGATATTCCAATGTTTGCAATGAAGCAGCCCTGATCGCCGCTCACCACCTGAATCCTTTTGTGCAACAGAAGCACTTTGAGCAGGCCATTGAGAGGGTCATCGGAGGTGAGCAGATGTCCCTTGGGGGGCACCCACCCTGGGGCGCAGTTCACTTCAGCACACAGGAGCCATGGACTGTTTTCCAAACCAAAATTTGGGACTTTGGGTTCGCCAACAACCTCCATGATTTTTCTAGAGCTACGTTTAGAATCTCCAAGACATGGGACCCTCAGGGCACTGGCGTAGAGGCAGACGTGGGTGCTGCATGTGGTTGAGAGGAACAGGGTTTCCTGGACGCTTCCTGCTGGGACATGCTCTGTGAGCGCTGTGCTGTGTGCTGCGTGTGCGAGTGTGTGTACGTGTGTACGTGTGCGTGCAGCGTCACCGCCTGGCTTTCCATCCTCAGCTCAGCTTGGGAAACTAGTCAGTTGGTTGAAGGTGTCCAGAGTGCCTTCCCAGGGATGGACATCAGGTGTCCACATGGCGAGCAGCTGTCCATGGTCAGGTCAGCAGGCTGGTGTCGCTGTTCTGTCCTTGTTGAACTTTTTACTAACGTGTGACATGTTTAGAGAAGCACGTAGAGAAAGTCATGCAAGAGTAGGCCTTCCTTCCCCCAGATGCTGGCACCTGGGCTTCCCTCCCAGCCCCGGCTTCGTCTGGAAGGAAGTCCGGCTTAATTAGCATATTACGCTTTTATTATTATAGATTGGCAGTTGAGGTGTCCAGAGCCTGGAGCGTAGCACTTCTTCCCGGGGTTGCGGGCCCAGCACCTGGCACCCCTACTGCTGCACCCTCCCTCTCCTCTCTGGGCCATCGCGCCCGCCCCCCTCCCCACGAGCTCTGTTGTCAGCTCCTGGGCCTGTGCACAGGACACCTGGCCAAGAATCTTCCATAGGGGGCTCAGGGTTTGAGGAACCACCTGCCATGCACTTGGCGCCTGTTCTCTGGGCCCTTGATTCACAGGTGAATAAAATGGCTGGGGTTTCAGCCTCATGGTGGCCTCTGCTCACAAGTGGGGCCATCCCTGCTGGCTGCCTCCCTGTGAGGACCTGCTGCTCTGAGCCTGGAGCTCTTGGAAACCTGCTCTTGGCTGGGGGAGGCTCACACAGGAGGGCCAGGCCTCTGTGGGGACAGGATCTTCACTGTAATGACTAAAGGTCCAGGGCACTTGTCACTGACGGGTGATCCAAATAAGCCGCCCTGAGTGCAGCACAGCAGGCCCCAGGGGCTTAGGCTGGAGAAAACGGCGCACCCCCTGGCTCGCACCCTCCCCGCACCGCACTGTGGGGATGGCTACAAAGGAAGAGACACGGTGGTTGGGCCTTAGGGCTTAGGACGGGTGATGTTTTAATGCCACTTCTGTAATTAGCTCCGCAGCAGCAGGAAGGATGGATGTGTGTGGGGGGAGACCCGGGGTGGTGGTGCAGACAGGCCACCCTTACAGGATTGGGTTTTAAGGGGCATTCTTGACTGTGCCTGGTCAGTCAATGTCCTGTGTTGTTGCTGATCATGTGGCAAGAGAGGGAGTCTCCTGCCCCTACGTGGAAGGCAACCACCTGCATTTCTCAGGCCAATTTGCCTGGGGGACCTTCCTCTAGCCAAGCACAGTGGGCCCATTGCCCAGGGCTCCTATGGAGGAGCACATTTCAGTGGGGTGTCAGTGGGGAACAGATCAGGGCAGGTTTCCGTGGGAACAAAAAGCAAGCTCACACATTTATTTTAAAACCAATCTTGGACTTGCAATCAGACCAGAAGCCTGTCCTATCCTTTAGCACATAAAAAGCAGTGTTGGGAGCAGCTGAGCCTGGTAGCCTGATTTGGGGGCCAGGGGCTGTGCCCACGTTCTCCCACACCTCCAACCCCCTTGGGCCAGGATGTGCATCGATAGGGTTTGGGGACTGCATGGGCAAGGGACTGGAAGAAGGTGGCCCACCCCCAAGCAGTCTGAGGCAGTCGTGCCGTATTTGGTGTTCTGAGCTAAGGAGGGTGGGCCCGCTGTCTTGCAGGGACCAGGACGAGCAGGGTCTTAGGGCCTGGGAGGGACCCCATTGCTGGCACTGCTCCCTGGGTGGCTGGAAAGGGACAGGATTGAAATAAAGGTGGAAATGTTCAGGATTGACTCTTCCACCCACGTATTTGGCTAGACCCCAGGGGCTTTGCAGAGCGGCAGTCATCTACTCAGATCCCCCCGTCACCCAGCATCCACTCGGGAACCTTGTGACAGATGAGAGCACCAGTCCTGTGGACAGAAGGTTCCAGAAGGCCCAGTCCACTCCTGTCTCATCCCCGGGCATTGTCAGCCCTGACCCAGGGACCAGGAAGGAATTGGACATCAGGCCACTGGGCTGTGCTTGTGCTGGGTGCCTTGAGACCCTGACCTGGAGCCATGTGGGGTGGGCAGAGTGTCCACGGAGCCACACATCACATTTCCTCTGCCTGGGTCCCGGGGCTGCCTGGCCTAGTTCTCCTTGGGCCTCTCCACAGTGAGAAACGTGTCCACAATCGCTGGCTGCCGCTCAGTTTTTTTTTTGTTTGTTTGTTTGTTTTTTCTGTGGGAACAAAAAGCAAGCTCACACATTTATTTTAAAACCAATCTTGGACTTGCAATCAGACCAGAAGCCTGTCCTGTCCTTTAGCACATAAAAAGCAGTGTTGGGAGCAGCTGAGCCTGGTGGCCTGATTTGGGGGCCAAGGGCTGTGCCCACGTTCTCCCACACCTCCAACCCCCTTGGGCCAGGATGTGCATCGATAGGGTATGGGGACCGCATGGGCAAGGGACTGGAAGAAGGTGGCCCACCCCCAAGCAGTCTGAGGCAGTCATGCCGTATTTGGTGTTCTGAGCTAAGGAGGGTGGGCCCGCTGTCTTGCAGGGACCAGGACGAGCAGGGTCTTAGGGCCTGGGAGGGACCCCATTGCTGGCACTGCTCCCTGGGTGGCTGGAAAGGGACAGGATTGAAATAAAGGTGGAAATGTTCAGGATTGACTCTTCCACCCACGTATTTGGCTAGACCCCAGGGGCTTTGCAGAGCGGCAGTCATCTACTCAGATCCCCCCGTCACCCAGCATCCACTCGGGAACCTTGTGACAGATGAGAGCACCAGTCCTGTGGACAGAAGGTTCCAGAAGGCCCAGTCCACTCCTGTCTCATCCCCGGGCATTGTCAGCCCTGATCCAGGGACCAGGAAGGAATTGGACATCAGGCCACTGGGCTGTGCTTGTGCTGGGTGCCTTGAGACCCTGACCTGGAGCCATGTGGGGTGGGCAGAGTGTCCACGGAGCCACACATCACATTTCCTCTGCCTGGGTCCCGGGGCTGCCTGGCCTAGTTCTCCTTGGGCCTCTCCACAGTGAGAAACGTGTCCACAATCGCTGGCTGCCGCTCAGGGTCGCCGAGGTGCTGCTTCTCACGGTTCTGCTCTGCCCTGGTCCGAGTCCAGGATGGGGACCGCAGACAGCCGGCCCGGGGCAGTGGGTGCAGGCCTGGTGGGAACACGGGAAGGGTCAGCATGGCCTGGGGTCCTGCGTCTCTCCTGTAGATACCAGGCTGGCCCTGTGTGCTTCCCAACACAGTGTCGGCCACACAAGGGGTCCCCAGGCACTTAGAAAATGTGAGTGCCAGCAACGAGGACGTGTGGGTCTGAACCCCCCACCCTGGGCCCCGCCTGCATGTGGTTTGAGCAGGGAGAGAGGAATGTCCCTGGTCCCACTCACCCCACTGGCTGCCTTGCCATTTCTGAGGCTTTTGGGGTCTTGGGCCCAGGACAACGCTTCCTTGGGAACCAAAGTGGACACCACGCCAGGCTGCGCTGAGGTGGGGCCAGGTTGGTGAATGGCACCTCCTCTGTGTTCAGCTGAACTTGTGACTTTTTTACATTGTTTTTTTAATCCTCGCCTGAGGACAGGCTCATTCATTTTAGAGGGAAAGGGAGAGAGAGAAACATTGATCAGCTGTCTCTCCCACCCGCCCCAACCAGGCTGGGGATCGAACTCGCAACCTAGGTATGTGCCCTGATCAGGAAGGAAACGGTGACCCTTCGGTGTGCTGGACGGTGCTCCAGGCAACTGAGCTCCAACCAACGGGGCTTAACTAGTGAGCCATTTAGTAAATGCTTCCTGCAGTGGGTCTGTGACTGTGGCCTTTGGTGGTGTTTGAAAAGCAGAACTGAGGAGGGGTAGCAGGAACAGGAGGCACATAGATATGTAGAAGGCAGAAATGTGGAATAAAATGGTGCTGTGGTGGCAAATACTTAAACACAATTGAGATAAACTTATTTTTAAAAACGGATTTCAGGGAGCAGTGTTTAGTGGTCTCGGGCCCCAGGACCTCCCCCAATGCCCATCGTGTGCCAATGCCAGTGCCAGCCTCACCTGCTGGTGATTCACCCGTCAGGTTCTCATCATCGGAGTCAGCAAAGACCTCGGCCAGTTCCTGGTCGGACATGTCGGTCAGCTCGGTGAGGTCCAGGAGGTCAAAGTGCACCTCGAGGGAGGACACACTGCTGAGTGGCTCTGGGGGCAGGGGGCGTGTCACTGCGCAGTTGTCCGTGGGGCCCCCTGCCCCCACGAGGCCCAGGGGAGACCCAGAGCTCTGGGTAAAGCCCAGCATGGCCCCCAACTCTGCTCCCCACACTCAGGACCAAACGCCTTCTGGGGAGCCCCACTTATAGATGGTACAGCTGAGGCCCAGCGAGCCAAAAGCTTGAAAAGCTCAGTGCTTGCCACACTGGGGAGTGTTTGGACAGGGTGTGGTCCCTGGTCCCCACTCCCCGTGGGTCACAGGTCCCCATGGAACATGCCAGGCAGCTCCCCTGTACTTACGCCTCCGTTCTGTGACCTGCAGGAGCCCTGGTGCCGGTATTGGAATTCCCACCTCCTCCTGCTCGGCCACAGGCAAGTGGCCGCTGTCCCCTGTCCCAAGGGCCGGGGCATCCAGGGCAGCCAGTGGCACCTCGATCTCCTTAACTATTTCTGCAAAAGACAGAATGCTTTACCCGCAGGACACAGGCAGGAGGACTTGAGAAGTTGCCTCATGGGTGCTGGGCAGTGAGCAGGGTGCTCAGGGTAGCCTTGGGCCAGGACCCCACATGAGGAGGGGGCTTCTCTGAGGAGGCTCCTCGTTTTCCATATTTAAGTTTGTTGTGAGGTGAGGGCAGGAGGCCCCTTGAGGGCGGTGCTTGGTGGAGGTGGGACCACAGGAACACAGGCTCCCACACGTCCCCTGGGACCCCACAGCTGAGCAAGTAGACTCCAGGGACCGACCCGGGGGCCCCCAGCAAGGCTCTGCGATGCCTCGGGTGGATGCCAGAGTCAGAGTGGATGAAGCCTCAGGAGCAGCTGCTGCCGTCGCGACGAGGGGCCCCGCTGGGGCTCTCGGTGCCAACAGCTGCCTGTGAGGGTGGGCCTGTCCTCCCCACTGTGGTCAGCAGCCTGGACGCCACCATGTGGGACATGTGGGTCTGGAGGGTCCCGGCTTACAGCTGCAGAGCTGGGCGGTGCACCTGGCCTCGGGACGGGCACCACCTGCCCTGGATGGGGCTGAGGGAAGGTGTACCTGCTGCCCGCGGGCGGCCTGCCCAGCTCTGCACCCTACTGCCCTCACGTGGGCAGGCCAGGCTGGACAGGCTCGAGATCCGGTTTCTACCTCTGGTGCATCAGGAGTGTGGCTTCTGAGCATCCTGAGAGGGTAGAGTTACACCCACCCCTGTCCTGGCCCCCACAGCCTGGCAAGGACACCTTCCCGCCCAGAGGCCACGAGAGATGAGATTCGGACCCTGCTCTGTGCTGGGGGTGCTGGGCCAAGGAAGCCCTTGGGGGCCTTGGTCTGCAGGACACTTTGCTTTGTGTCCTCATGGGGAGGGTGGCACCGGGTGTAAGTGTCCTGGGGCCTGTCACACTGAGACACTTCCACACCTGACCTGTGGGGGGTGTCTGGGCTGAAGCCTCTGGGATGATAACTAGTGACAATGCCTCTCGGTTTTCAGACTTGCTCTGTGCCAGGCACTGCCCAGTGCTCTGCTCTCTGGACGTCACAACCAGCCATGAGGGCGGAGCGCTGAGCGTTGTGCTTTAGAGAGTGGCTCAGCTCCCTGCAGGCACCACACGGGGGACCATGGAGTCTGAGCTCTCGGCCTCCATTCCCAGGTCATGGTGCAGGGCTGGGAGCAGGGGCAGAGGAGGGAGGAGACCCCTGCCTGTGCCCGCAGGGAAGCTGGAATATGTTTCCTGGGCCCTCCCCAGGCGGAAGCGGACTTGAACGATGGAAGGATAGAGGCAGGGGTCTGCTCACAGCTGCCCTGTCCCTTGGTTGCTGGGTGGGGCCCTTCTCTAGCAAGAAAGCATCCATTCATTCATTCTTCAACCCAACAAAGGTTTCCTGAGTGCGTACTCTGTGCCAGGGCCATAGCACGAACCAAGTGGATGGTCCCACCCTCGAGGACGGGCAGTTCTCCTGTTGGGGGCAGGGGTCTGAAGGTGGGCGGGAGCTGCGTCACATCTGGGGACAGGGCGAGGCCCAGGGGACAGGGGTGGGGTACACCCGTAGATGCTGACTGCTACTCCGAGGGAGCGAGCGGTGCAGTGCTGGAGGGTCTGTGCTGAGAGGGGCACCGGCTAGTTGCACCTTTAAGGGACGCAGTCCAGGTGGGAAGGATGAAGACCACAGGGGCTAAGATGGGGGCTGGGGGGACCCAGCAGGACCTCAGCCAAAGAGCACACTCCTGGCCCATCTAGTGGGGAAGGGGGACTGGGAGCGTCCACGTGCCTCTTTGCAGACAGAGGGAGGCAGGAGCCTCGGACAGCCCCTGGGACAGACTCCACAAGCACCGTGGCCTGTGGCACTGACCGTAAGAAGCACATTTTACAAAATTCCAACATCCCAGAAACAGCAGAGCATCTGTGTGCTGTAGAGTCAACGGCATATGGTGTGTGTCTGGTCTTTTGAGTCATTTTCATCGCCTTTTGGCAGTGCCTGGTCTCTGTAAATCCTGGTGCCCTGATCTGTCTCAAAGCTGTGGGGGAAGAAGATGTAGCTTCTGCCATCAAGGACACTGGTCCTGGGCTAAGAATGTGAGGGAAAGTGAGAGTAAGAGTCAGTGTGCCACTGCAGATGCCAGGGACAGAGCAGCCCAGGAAGGTCAGGGCTGACCTTGTCAGGTAAAGCAGGTGGCCATGATGCAAGACAGTCCAGCTGTTAAATGTGGAGTCACCCACAGTCCAGCCATTCCACTCCGACGCTTAAACCCGAGAGAACCAAAAGCACATGTGCACACAAACACTTGAACACAAATGTTCACAGCAGCACTGAGCGTCAAAAAAGGCAAAAGTGAAAGCAAACCCAAATGTCCATCAGTGGATGACGGATACACAGAATGGGGTCCATCCATCACTGGATACTACTCAGCCACAGAAAGGAACGGCGCTCTGACACCGGCTATAACATGGATGAACCTTGAAAACACGGTGAGTGCAAGAAGCCAGACACAAAAAGGCCACATATTATGGCACCATTTATGCAGATGTCCAGAACAGGCAAATCCATAGAGTAGAAAAGTAAATCAGAGAAGACACAGAGTAGATTGGTGGGTGGGGGGTGTGTGGAATGTGGAGTAACTGCTGATGTGTACAGGGTTTCTTTCCTGAAATGCTAAAATTAGACGCTGGTGATGGTTGTACAACTTTGTGAATACAGATGCTCCCTAACTTATGATGGGGTTATACCCTGATAAACTTGTCGTAAGTTGAAAATATGTTAAGTGTCCCTAGCCAGTGTGGCTCATTGGGTAGAGCATCAGCCTGTGGACTGAAGGGTCCTGGGTTTGATTCTGGTCAGGGGCATGTACCTCAGTTGCAGGCTCCTGGCCCTGGTCAGGGGCATGTAGGAGGCAACCAATTGATGTGTCTCTCTCACATGGGTGATTCTCTCCTACTTTCCACTCTCTCTAAAAATCAATGGAAAAAATATCCTCAGGTGAGGATTAAAAAAGAAAAGAAAGTATTGTAATTAAAAAATGCATTTAAGACTCCTCATGTACTGAACATCGTAGCTTAGTCCAGACACCTCAAATGTGCTCAGAAGACCATGTACATTAGCCCACAGCTGCCCAGCACCACAAGAGAAAGTAGCGTATCGCTAGTCTGGAAAAGACTAAAACTGAACATTCAAAGTACAGTTTCCACTGGAAGCTTATCACTGATTGCCATCGTAAAGTAAAAAAATTAAGTTGAACCATCTTAAGTTCAACTTAAGTACTAACAATACTAAATTGGAAACTGTAAAAGGCTGAATTTTAGGACATGTGACTTATATCTCAATTTTTGAAATCATCAGTGGAAACAAAGGTGATTTTTGGCTGGCATTAAAGGGCAAAGCCAGGATGACTTAGGACATGAACCATATGCTGTACACCTACTTACTATGTGCCAGGCACCTGGCTCAAAGGCTGGGACTGGGTGTGAGCTCCAGGATCTGGGCTTGCCCTAGTGCACGGTAGGTGCACCATAAATGTTTGTGGAATGACTGAGCCCCAAAACCCATATATATATATGTCTAAGCGACCATTACGACCAGTTGACTGAATGACCAGTCGACCAGTCGCTATGACACGCACTGACCACCAGGGGGCAGATGCTCAATGCAGGAGCTGCCCCCTGGTGGTCAGGGCCCTCCCACAGCCATCCTCCTGCAGCTGGCCAACCTCCCGTGGTCTCTCCCCCCAGGACTGGACGAGATGGCCCCGATCGCAGGCCAGGCTGAGCGACCCCATCTGTGCACGAATTCATGCACCGGCCTCTAGTAGTTAACAAGAGGCTCTCTGATCGATCAGTCTGATCTCTGGAGGACAAAGGGACACATGTCCCACAAGTCAGACCCCCTGCTCTTCCTGGGGCACAGCAGAGCAGGGAGCGCCCTGGCAGGCGTGGGCAGGGTGGTTGGCAGCCTGATGGAGCCACACGCGGGGGTCACGCCAGCCAGGGCTGAGGCCAGCAGGTGTTTCTGATGCCCAGGACACTCCCTGTAGGGAGACTGAAGTTGGGGTGCCACAATCTGCCCCCTCCCCCAGGGCTGACTGCTAATGTGAGTAGAGTGGATAGGGTTACTGTGTGCTATGCCGCTGACCTATTTTCAGCACAATTGTGCTGAGAACGGCCCAAATTTCAAGTCCCCTTCTGTGTGTCCAGGGCCTTGCCCCAGCATCAACGAGGAGGCCCTCTGCGCGCACCCACGAGCAAACGCAGTAATGAACTGAATAAATGAATGTCATAAAGAAGGCCACAGCGAGGGAGAGATGTCACAGAAGTGGGGCACCCGCACCCTATTTCCCCAGCCCTGGTCCCTAGACTCAGCGCCCCTCCTCCTCACCCCGTCCAGGCTCAGCCTCTCTCTCCCTGTGGGTGGGCTAGTTTTCCATAGTCAACAGTTGAGGTCCTTCAAGAAGTACACTACCCACCACAGCCCCTAATCTTTTCAACTCTGGATCTGCACTCTTGGATGATTCAGATATTCATTCATTTTAAGTCCATGATGAGATTTGAGTGATGCTCTATAAACACCGTATCTTTTCGAGATAATTGCAGAGACAATTGTGGGTGAAATAATGTGTCTGGATTTGCTACCAATGACTGCTGAAGGGAGGGGCTTGGTGGGGCCTGGGTGAGCAGCAGGAGGTGGCAGGCAGGGCTTTCCCACAGTTTTCTCTCCCTTTGTGTGTGCTCTGCACTCTCCAAAGTAAAGTTTACAAAAGTTAGTGAACTGAGAGGATGACAGTCACAGCACCCACATGTGACCTACCTGGTGAGACCCCACGGAGTGGACACACCAGCCGCGTGCAGTCAGCCCAGCCCCCCTGCCCAGAACAGGCCCCGTAAACACACGTCTGTGCACCGATGACTTAATCTCGGGCTTCAGTAACTGAGACTCCAAGACTGAAGGGTGGCCAGGCTCCTCTGCCCCCGCCCCGCAGGCCTGGCGGCTCTGCTCTCAAGCTGCCACTGGGAAGTGGGGGGGGGGGGGGGGGTGAGGCTGTCAGTTGTGAGAAAAGGCTGGATCCCTCCCATAAGTGACAAAACAAAGGAACCCGGCACCGCCAGCCCCTGGTGTGTGGTGCTGGCAGGGAGGGTAACGGTCCAGGCCACCCTCTGGCATGAACCTGCCCAACAAGGGCTGCAGACAAGCACGGACCCACGGCTCCAGGACACTTCCGGGGCCAGCAGTTTGGTTCCAAGGGAGGCCGCTTGCGCCGCGGGGGACCCCCAGCGGGTCCCTGTGTGGTCAGGGAGGGGCCCCTGGAAGGGGACCTCCAGGAAACGGATGCACCCCGGCCTGGTCAGGCGGGCTGGAGCCCTGCGTTTGCATCCTGGCTCCCAGTCGGATGAACGGCACCCACAAATCCTTTCTGAACGGGCTTGGGTGGGGGTTCCCACAGTTTTTCTCTCATTCCGTCAGGATAGCGGACCGGCTGGAGGAGTGTCCCTCCGTGCACACCTGCCCACCCAGACGCGTGGTCCCTGGGGCTCGCCCAGTCCCCGCCCCCCCCCGCCCCGCAGCCAGCACCT